ATATAAGTTTCCATGGACAAATCTCCCAAACACAGATATAAAAACTAAGCTATTTTTATCTAGATATGTATGATACAGCACTATAAAAAGCTTTAAAGGGATACAAAATAATACATTGCTTGTGTATATCTACACATATGAGTAAATTTATTTTTAAAATTCTTGGCACCATAGACAATAATTTCGAGAAGATTTTGTTTTTCTGGAAAGAAGGAGGTATGGGAATTAGGGGGAAAAATCATCTTTGCCTCTTTGCTTTACTTCTTTAAAAAGGCAAGAAAGATATAAAGTACATGTGGAAAAAAATTAGGTTAACAGAAACTATTCTCCTTATTTTTCTGTGTCCTTGAAATCTTTCGTACAAAATGAGATGATAGTACTTAACAAACATTTCTGTCAATCATGTAGGCTTTTTCCGTGTTTTGCAGCAAACGTATTCTTTTTTTTCTTCTTAAAAATACAATTTGTTTCAAATGATAAAAATAACACATGTATATTTTGGTTAATTTTTTCTTTTTTTAAAGGTTTTTAAGCAAAACATTTATTGGTACATTTTAGATACACATAATGATCACATTTATCATAGGGAATTTGTACCTACCTGTACACGACATATTTTGATTCTTCTTGTTTCCCCTTTCCCTGCCCATCCTTCAACCCCTCTTCCCCTCGTTATTTACAATAGTTTTGTTTCCATTTCTTCCTTTTATTCTCTTTTTTTGTTCCTTCTTTCCTTTCCCCTCCTCCTCTCTTTTTCTCCTTCTCATTTGAGCATTTTTCCCCCCAATTCCCAATGTCCATTATACATTTTGGTTCTTATTTCCACTTCTGGTTTCTCACACCAGAGAAACAATGTGGTATTTACATGTGTGTCCAATTTATCTCACTTAAAAGTATGGTCTCAAGGTGTACCCATTTACCTAGAAATGTCTCAATCTTATCCTTCTTTATGGCAGAGTAGTACTCTATTATATAAAAAGCGACTATTTTCTTAAGTCAAGTGTAATTCCTCTTTAATGACAAAGAATACAAAGAAAACTTGAGTACCAGCTGGGTACTTGTCACATTTTAATAAAGAAATTTTGCTTTTGCCCTCTTGGATGTTATTAAACCTACTTAAATCCTTCCATTCTTGGATAAGTTTTAACTAAGGTTCTTGTCTCTATGCTTATGACTCACTTATTAATGTTTGTTTATTTATTCAGTAAGTATCTGTTAGAACCACTTATATAGCAGAGGCATGGGTAGAATTTTATTCTGAATATTTTTAACACAGTTTCACAGCCTTATCTGCCTGCAGATCTAAAATTAAAATATTACTTTTGTTGTGTTTATGGCAGGTTTATTTCAGATAATTCAATTCCACAGTTAGAATATTATTCATTTTTATATTCTCACCCATTTCATGAGATATGATTTAAGTTCCCAGATGTTTCCCACATGTCACTAACTGAACAATCTAAGCTGAAAGACTTCAAGGCTTGTGTGAAGTTACACAGCAATGGGCTGCAAGGAAGGGCCAGTTGCTACTTATAATCCCCCCTGGAAAACCAAAGGTCTGGCTATATTGAATCTCCTGAGGACCTTAGAGACTTGTTATGATGCATTTAAGTTCCAGTTTCTTGAGGACCTGGATTATGTCTCTCTATCCACTGCACACCTGTCATTCATCCAGCCCATTATTCATCTTTTCATTTAACAATAGCTTGGTGTCTCACATTGTCGGGTACTTGGTACCGTCTCATTGATTTAAGAAATTGAAATTATTGAGTGTTGTTCTCTCCCCATTTTTCAAAATCTCCTTAGCTTTCCACTAGCTGCTACTTCATACCTTTGACAGGTCCTTCAGTGAAAAAAAAATATATATATATATATAGAAAAGGAAATTAAAGGAACATTTAATTTAAAGAACAACATACAAATCCCAATTATCCTCCAAATTCTTAATTAAATTCTCCTGAATTAATTTACAAAATAAACTCCACCAATAAGTCATAAAGCTTTACTGGTAAGAGCGAGTGTGGCCCCCCTGCAGCGTAGTAAGCCACAGGAACACAAATTAGAGAAAACCTGGGAAAGCACAGTGTTGGAGGGGTGAGGGATGATTCCAGTCAGAGACTTACTTTTCATTTAAGTGTGAAAGAAGCAAAACTTTTCAGGATTAAATTGGCTGGAGGGAAATGTCATGCCAGCATGTGTAAAATGACAAGGGACAGCTGGCTAGAGAGGCGTAAATCAGAAACCAGCCTCACCTCATGGTTGTTGAAATTGCCACAAGGATGCTTATAAATAGCTCTCTCTGTTTCCCAGTTCTGTCAGGAAGAGAAGTGGGTATGGAGATGAAAGCCACCTCTGTCCATAGCTTGCTGGCTGATTCAATAGCTTCCTGTGGAAGACCTGACTCCCTGGCCTTTTGGGCAGGATCTACCTGGGATTCAGCCAGGATGTGACTGAGGAACTGGGCCTTTTGGAGCCAGAATGTACAGGACTAACATGTTGTTAAGGGCTCAGTGTGCAAATTTATCCAGCTGTTTTAGTCTGCTTTGTGTTGCCGTAACACAATACTGTAGCCTAGGTAATTTAAAAGCCACAGATAATATGGCTTGTGGTTCTGAAGGCTGGGAAATCCAAAGCCCAGAGGCCCACATCTGGTGAGGTCCTTCTGATGTCATCATCCTATGTCAGAAAGTGCAAGAGCAAGAGAGACCTCTTGGAGGTGGAGGTGGAGAAGGGTTGAACCCATTCTTTTGTGAGAAATTAATTCCCTTGATAACAGCATCAATCCATCCATGAGGGTAGAACACTCGTGGCCTAACACCTCTTAAAGGACCAATTTCTCAACATTATTGCATTTGGGACACATGACTGTATTGGACCCATTTAAACCATGGCAACAGCAGAGCTAATGAAAGATCACCAAAGGTTTGATAAAACCAAACTACCAACCCAGCTTCAACTAGACTGAAGTTCCTTTGGATCTCTGGGTATTGATTTCCTGAATTTGGAGATTTGGAATGCGTAGTCCCAGCTGGATGGTTGTACCATATTCCAAACTGTGTTTTCTCTTCAACAAAATTTTGAATTTAACCAAATCCAGCAAACATTCTAAGCCCTAGAGAAGCTTTATATTGATGTAAACAATATGGAGGCCCAAATATTTCAACTGTTGCAATTGGTGTTTTCTGATTTTTTAAAAGAAGAGTATGTTTCCCTCATTTTTCATATCCCTGTAATCACTTATATCCCCAAGAAAAGTCCTTCACAGCAGTTGCACAATAATGGCCCGTTAAATAGCCAATGGGTTGCCTGTATCAGGAAAGTTCAAGAAGAGGGTGGACTCATGTCACTCTGTGGGAGGGGCTTCCTCCTCTAGTGCATCCGTTGGCTCAATTTATAGCCATGCTGACTTCTGGGAGGAGAATTAGCTTTAGGAGAGGTGTTACTAGAAGCCAGAGAATGTCCCCTGGGCACTGTTCTGTGCAACCATTAATTAAAATGCAAGCAACTCATGCTTCAGTATTGAATATAGAACTGATGAAATTTGGGGATAATCTTGAACAACAGTTGAAAGCATATAGAAGCATACATTCCATTCACTTCCCTCTATTCCCTCCCTTCTTTCCTACCATCCCTTCCCCTGTAGTCCTTTCCAGATGACTACAAAACAAAGCAGAGAATGGCTGTCTCTACACCTTTGGGGACTGGTTAGGGAACCCAGAAAGCTGGGCTCCAGGCATGGTTCCCTCTGGGAGCCGGCAGTAAGTTCATTTCAGGGAGTTGGTCTCCTGTCCATCTTGTACTCTGTGAAAGGATAAAGGGCTTGAGTTAGGTGAGGGTGCAGATCTCTCCCAGCACTAAAGGCCTATGGTTCTAATTCATCCTTGCCTCATTTCTTGCTAAAGACTGAGGAAAGCTTAGCCAGGTCCTGGTGCATCCACCTTGCATCTCATTTTTCTGCTTATGGCCCTTTCTCTTTGCTTCCCACATCCATTTAATCTGAGTCTTGGCAACTGCTGAGGAAAAGCAGTTGCTTCCTTCCCTGACTTTACTTCCTTTGGGCTGTCGAAATATGTATCACTTGCGATGGCTCTGGGGCAAAACGTTTATGTTTGATTAACTCAGTTTTAAAACACACCAACCATGGTGGCACTAATTCTACTGGATTTATCTGTCAAGTCAGCAGCTTTCAATAAATAGTGCAGCTCTGAGATGAGAAATATAAAGGCTGGATCTGTAACCAGGCAACAAAGAATGAAGGCAATTTTACATGGGATTTTTATGTGTGTAATCCAAACTATAGGTTGTGTCTTTAAGGACCAGGATCATCCACAGGAGTGTTTTTAAGTTATGTTATTTAAGAAAAAAAAAACCCATCTATATTCTGTTTTTGAACAATTAGGCTTCCACTCTGTTTATCATCTTAGGTTTTAAATACTTTTCTGTAAAAAAAAAAAAAAACCCTTAAAAATGCAATTTTATGATGATTCAAGGACTGCTGCTGTGCCTTAAGCTAGACTAAGACAGACAGAATACATTTAAATGAATTACAAAGTGTATTATACTCTGAAAATCAGCATTAAAATGCACATTAATTTTTGCAGCTTTTAAATACTTTGGTTGCTGAGGAACTGCTTCTATTCTATAATTGAAATAGCTCTTCAGATGCAATTTAGCCGCTGATTGGTTTTTAAGTATTTTTAAAAGCTAACAGCTCAAAAGGAAAAAGGTGGTATATTCTTGGGGTTTAAATAGGAACACAGATGTCACCATGCTGTGGACTCGTGGGGCCCCTGGAAATCACACTTATTTCCTCTAAAGAAGGGGTGCCCTTAAGTGTTCAGGAGACCATAGACCTGACTTGACGTCATATATACGATCTCAGTTACAGAGAATTGTTCTCTTTTAAAGGTAATTCTCAGGTCTCAAATTCTACTCCATTCACACATTTCACTTGCTTCTGTTTTTTTACTACCCCTGTTTTTGTTTTTGTTTTTGGTCAGGTTCAAGAAACGTCAAGTAGGAAAAGAGCAGCAAAACAAAAGAGCAAATCTACCTTGATAGTGACTGGCAGGTGGATGTCTACAAGTGTGGCACGGTAGAAGTCTAAACAAAGGGCCTGAGGGCCTGGGATTTAGCTCGTGGTTGCGCCGCCTGCCCCGAAAGCGCAAGGACGTGAGTTGATTCCCGGTACCAAAAAAAAAAAAAAAAAAGGCCTGAGGTGGGGATTGGAATGCTTGAATTTTGACTTTGGCTATTGCAGGCAGCAAAGGATATTGCAAAGTGACTCCGTCCGCATGACAACACTCAGTAACTTCAAGATAAAAAGGCAAAATCTAGGCACTATTTTTTGGTATGTTCTTGTTTCCTTCATATTGATAGATCTGTTTTGAACTCAGCAATGATAGGAGCTTGTGTTGGCAAAAACACGGGAACCAAAATTAGTTCTCATTTTAAATTTCTCACTGAGGAGAGATGGTAAATTCACATAGATCCTTTTCTTTTCTTTCGATGACAAACGTGACAACTGAGATATTGTGGGATTGTTATAGACTTCGTATATAAAGTCATAATGCGTAAAAACCACAAATTGCTTTGTGAATGTAAAGTAGAATCACTAGCAGGGAGTTCTAAACAATGAGTCTTGGGAGAGGGCTATCAGATCCCTCCAGAAAGAAACCACAAAGCTTTCAGAATCCTTTGGTATGTTGCATCAAATCAGATAGTTTGCGGGAGGGGCCGGGGATTTAGCTCAGTGGCACCGCACTTGCCTTCCAAGCTCAAGCTCCTGAGTTCGATCCCCGGTACCAAAAAAAAAAAAAAAAGTTCGCAGGAAAAGATCTAGGTTAATTATGCCTTATGAGTTCTGTCTCTCGGCTTAGGATCTCAAAGGTTGAGAAGGTAAATTAAAGTTACAGAAAAATCTGTTCTTTGAACTCTCTTATTAACTATAGATGGCATGTCAGGAGAAAAATGGATGTATATAGAGAAACAGTTAATAATAGTTAAAGTAATAACAACATTTAACTACAATTTATTAAATACTTAACTATGTACCTGATAATTAGCTACATATTTTACATTTAATCTTCACAAAAAACCTATAGTGTGGGTTTCTTCTGCAAACAAGAAGATTGAGCCCTAGAGAAATTAAGCAACTCAATTTCATAGAATAAATGGTAACATCAGATGTTCTAAAAGAATTTTTTTAACTTCAAGTACAACAACACACTCCTATAGATTTTTAAGAAGTCATTGCAAAATCCATCTCTGTGCTACAATCACATGGACTAGACATCTCCACACAAAGCCATCAGTTGTTAAGAAAGCTCATTCAAGTATGGAGTAAGGAGAAGAGATTTTAGGTAATAGATTTTTCTACTTTCCATTCATGATAGGTACTATACTGTAATGCTGAGCTTATTTGTCATAGGAAAAGAAAGTCAGATAAAGAAAAATGTGCTGTAAATCTTTTAAGAGAAAAGAATACTCACTGCCAAACAATGTATTCAGGAAGAGATGGAGAAATGGTTTAATTTCAAGTGATGTGATTATTTTTAATTCTCTTAAATAGATCATTATTTAAATTATACTGTCCAAATCTGAATAAAATACATGAAGACACCAAGAACCAAGTTGAGTTTAATGGTTGCTTAAACTGTCTTTAAAAAGATTACACTGTGATTTGGCATTAAAACAAAAAAAATATTGTATATAAATACAGACAGGGAAATAAGGAAGTTGGACACAAACTTGATATTAAGGAAACAATCACTTGTTATGAAAGGAATGACTGTAAGTCCTTAGGTCATGCAAAGCAACAACAAAATGCCTGGAATCTGACAAAAGAAGAGCCCTCTGTCCAGAGAGAGCAGATTTCTCTACCCTCTGAGAGAGTGCAGAAGGGTCACTTATCAGAATCAAGCAAGCAGTAACAGTAAAACTAACAGAAGGGTAACAGTGGCTTGGGAGGAAATCTGAGAAAAATATGAAGGACTTCTTGTTTAAAGAAAAGTTGTACCATTAGTACTTTGGTACTGGGGATCAAACTTGGGACCTTGCACTTGTGAGGCAGGTGCAGGAACCACTGAGCTAAATCCCCAGCTTATCATTAGTACTTTGAATGACACAAATGACAGCATCACAGAAAAAGCTTCTTACCAATGATGGAGTTAAAAAACAACAGAAAAGCATCATTGTCTTGAATATGATGAAGTTTTAGGAATCTTGAAACCAGTTTATTTTTTCTTTTAAAGTGTGAACAAGACTGATAAATTTTAAAATGTATGAATAAGTCTAAAAGAGTTATTTCAATATGTATAATACAAAATACTTAGAGCCCAAAAAATGTGGATATGATCTTGTTTTTTGGTATAGCGTAAAGTAATTGTGTGTCTTACACTCTACTGGTATCTAAGATTGCACAAAAACCCAGTGTATACATGCTTTTCTAGCCAACACAAAAAGAGAAGGTTGTTTTCTGATAACTCAAAACTTTTGGTTGCTAGAGATAACTTAAGAGTCCCTTGGAGGAGTATATGCTTTCACAGAAAACCAATTTTTAAAGGTTTACAATATAAAATATCACATGAACTCACTACTGTGTTCCTCCAATTAAGTAACAATCTCTTTTGGCATCAGAATCTTCATATATAAGAAATCAGGGTGAAAATTGTTTCCATGGATCTTTCCCCAAAGAACTTTCCAAGGCTAACGCAAGAAAAAGATGAAATAACATCAATGAAGCCAAAATAAAGTAGGGACAGACAGCTATAAAAATGCTTTACTTGGACCTGGAAGTGTAGCTCAGTGGTTGAGTGTGTGCTTAGCACATGAGGTCCTGGGTTCAAACTCTAGCACACATAACAATTTGCCTCTGCTGCCTATCACTGGACTCAGAAATTATTCATTCATTCATTATGTGCCATGCAGATGCTAGGCAGTGGGCATAAGAGAAGAGAATTGGAAGGATGATGCCATCTGATGTCATCCCTTCCCTCTTTACAACCTAGAGTGGGCAGCAGTAGATTTTATTAAGATTATTTTTATGATGACATACAGCAGAATAGATAGCTTTTTCAGATCAGAATCTTGACTTTAGCTGAAATTTGTCCACTATAAACATGCAAAAAAAAAAAAAAAATCCTGTGCTCTATACTGATATTTTCTCTTCTTCCTCTGTCCCCAGAGTCACAAAGAACATCTGCTAGAATGGAGAAGTCCTGGGCATTGTGGTAGTGTTCAGTCACCATTAATACACAGGAAACAGTGTTCAAGAAGATTTTCCTAGGAAAAAGGATTGGCATTGGGGCCAGTGAGTAGATGTGAAGTTAGAAATGCCAGGAAGAGCCAGGATCTCAGTGCTTCACACTGCCAGGGTAGCAGCTCTGACAAACCTAATTCAGTTTCACTAGCAGGACTGCGTAGTCACCATATTAAATGGGATTATGCTAATAAATTGTTCCTGTCTTGCCTTATGTTGGAACAAACAGTCAAACAATGAGAAGTCTTGATTCAGGGAGAGGTTCCAGCTAAGCTGATACCAAATGTGGGTGCTAATTGAAATCTTTAGCAACAAGTCAAGCAATTTGTATTTAATGGCCTTTAAAAGGGATGCTTTTCCATTTAGCATAGTATTATTTCATTTTTGATGATGCCAAAGTCTTTCTACCTTGTTTAAAGGAATAGAAAGAAGTATTTGTTTTTGTTCAATGGCGTTTCAGTCCCCGGGGAGGCTTTAGGCAAAGCAAGCTCTGAGCTGCTCAGAGAAAAGCTTGCTACGGGGAGTTTGTGGGCAGAGCCTGCAACCTGCACAGAGATTTTAGTCTCACAGCTTCCCAGCTTTTTCATCTTTCCTGGGAGACAAAAGCCCAGGAAAATGTTCCCAGCTGAATGTGTAGCAAGGATCAGTATAACTCATGAAATGAGTCAAAATAAACCACCTAGATTTTTTACTGGACAATGACAGATTTAATGAGTTGTAAAGTGCTCCATCTTCTCTTTTACTTTTGCTCCAAAATCATTGGCTCTCAATTCAGCAATGATTATCTTTGTCTTCATGGTCATATTATCATAAAGTGTTATCATAGCTAGAGAAAATGCAAATAACTGTGGGGGATTTTACAGTAATATTTGTTCCTAAAAATATTTCCTAGGACTCCTAGAGAGTCCAGTAATAGCAATGCACTGATATTTTGAGAAGTGCAGATCACTTTTTAGTTCTTTTGTGTTCTCTCCTCTGCTAGAAAAAGGAACCAAAGGAGCCAATAGAATGCATGTGCAACATTTGTTAAAAGTGTGTATGTGTGTTTATTTTCTTGAGGGAATGTGTATGTGTGCATACATTTTAAAGTTTAAAAAGTTAAGTGTCAAAGAAGGACCTTATTGTGTTTGAATTGTCTACAATAAACAACTATTCTTTTAATAAGTAAAAATTAACATAAAAAGAGAGGGTAAGGGCCCCAAAGAGATGTCAGAAAAAGCTTGCTTTTGTTAATTATAAAATATAACCACCAAGCATAAAGTTTTCTGTATCTTGAATCTCACATGGGAACCATCTGAGTAAGGAGGACACAAGGAGCCAACCAGCAGCTGGGGGCGGGGCAATGGTAAAGTCTGAAGTGCCCTTCTCTGACTTAGTCTCAAGGTCTGCACTCTAGGCTAGCGTGCTTGCAAGATTCACTGTCTGGGGCTGCGGATTTAGCTCAGTGGTTTCACAGCCTGCTGCACAAGCTCAAGGACCGGAGTTCCATCCCCAGTACCAAAAAAAAAAAGATTCACTGTCTGGGTGAAGAAACTGAGATTCAGAGACATGAAGCAGGTGGCCTCAAGAAAGGCGGTTGAGGTTGGGCACTCTGAATCCAGAGGCCCTGACCACTGAACAGCACCACATATCCACCAGGCAGTAACTCAGTCCCAGAAAGGAGCTGAAGGAACACTCTCTTATTCTGTAAAAATTTTGTTGTAACTCACAGGTATGTCCTGTGCGTGAGTGTGTGTGTGTGTGTGTGTGTGTGTAGACTGTGAGAGAAGGCAGCATCTTCTCATTGTCCATCCTGGTTGCAAAGTCTGAGAAATCAGGAAGATCGTGGCTATTTCATGCTCTTTTGCCTTTGCCTCTGACTTAATTTTAGATACAGCCTCAGTGGTCATTCTGAACTTGCTTG